TTACATCTAAACTCCGAACTATCAGCACCATTACATCTAAACTCGAGAATAATCCTACGGAAGAACGTAGTTAGAACTCTGAATCCGAACTCGATTGACTGTTAGCTGGAGAGCGCGTAATTTCATGTAATCTAATAATTGTATATAACTGTATCTAAATATAATATCTTTATTTATACAGAAGTGTCAGTTTTTATGCAAAAGCTTGGAATTATTTAGATATTTCATCGAATAAGAATTAGAATGGAACAAGCTCGGCTCCCGGGTGAAAGAAAAGGTAAGAGATTTCTTTTTACCTTTTAGAATTCTATTGAGAGATACAACAAATTTTTGGCATCCCTGCCGGGACGCCCGAGCTAAGAATAAGAATTTAAATTAGAAAATAAAGATTAAGAACACAATTATTGATTACATTTTGAATTTTTGAACTGTTAAGAACATGTCTGAAGAGATTTAAATAAATTAAAAAAGAAGCGCGCAGCTCTCCGAACATCAGTAACGAAATCGCTTAAAGATTTGGAATCGCAGCTTTCGGAAATTGATCCGAAAATTCATGATTTGGAAGAAAATTTAGAAATATTAAAGAATAATTTCGAATCGCTTAAAAGTGTCGATACAGAATTAGAACCTCTTTTTAAAGTCGAAGAATTTGATGCTGAATTCCAAAAATCTGAAGAATATCGTCAAAAGGTCGTTAAATGCAGTTTCCGTACCTCCAAAAGAATCGACGAATTAAAACGCAAATCTACTGAAACGGTAGTAAATAACCAGTTCAGTACTGATAGTCAAAGCGAACCAAAACATAACGAGTCTGTTCGAATTAAATTACCTAAGTTAACTTTAACGAAATTCTACGGAGATATAAACAACTGGCTAACCTTTTGGAACAGTTTCGAGTCTGCCATTCATAAAAATGATTCATTAGATAAAATAGACAAATTTAATTATTTGAAAGCTCATTTAGGTGGTTCTGCTTTAAATACAGTCGAAGGATTACCGATTACTGCTGCTAATTACGATTCCGCAATTGATCTTCTAAAAGAAAGATTTGCGAAAACAGATGTGCTCATTTACACTCACATAAATAACATTTTGAACACTAAACCGTTGAAAATCTCGAATGATGTTCGCGCCCTTTAGAAAATTTTATGATAATATTTCTATCGAATTAAGATGTTTAGAAAATTTGGGTCAGTCTCTCTCGAGAATTTATCAAGTGTGTTATGTCCAATAATTCTGAAATCACTTCCCCAAGATATTTTGCTTGAGATTAACAGAATGAGTAATGGAAGTGCGTATTGTAATATTAAAAGCCTGTGCTTGATTATAGCTCAATGTTTAGATTCACGCGAAAGGGCGGAAGTCATAAATAAGAATTCAGAGCATTCGACAGCGAATAGTGGGCGCCGTCAGTCTGCGTATGCAGTCCAGAAAATAAACACTCGTCATTTCAGCGATGGAAAGAGCAATAAATTAGAAACGAAAGCTTCTTCTGCTTCTGATTTAGTGTCCACGGGTATTAAAGAAAAATTGATTAAGGCATGCGTTTTTTGCGGAGATTTTTCCCATTCAAGCCATAAATGTCCTATTGCCCAGAAACTAACTAATGACGAAAAGGTTGAAATACTACGCAAAAATGGCACTTGTTTTAGGTGTTTACAAAATAAGGGTCACATCAGCAAATTTTGTGATTCTAACATTTTTTGCTCCCATTGTCACTCTAAGCATTCTACGATTATGTGCAACAGAATTAATTCCGAGAGTAAAAAGGGAACGATCAAAACTGTCCAGGAAGTTGAAAATAAAGTACTTTCGAATCAAAGCAACCGTTCTGAAGTTTATTTACAAACTTTGGTCGTAGGGGTAGCTGGGAAAACCTTAAAGGGTTATTTAAGATTGCTAATAGACACCGGAAGTCAGAACACGTACATAAGTCAATATGCTGCTAAAACGTTGAAATTAGAAAAGATAGGAACTGAAAGAATTAAACATGGGTTATTTGGGGGTGTAGAAGTTTCGGAAGATCATAATCGTTATCAAATAGATTTAACTAGTTTGGATGGAAAGTACAGGTGTAAAATCGAAGCACTAGACCAGAGGAAAATTTGTTCGTCACTACCTAAGATCAAAGACGAAAAGTTAATTAAAGTAATGGAAAAAAAGGGGAATCCTTATCAACGACAATCATGTGAATGGAAATCTCTGTCTGTTTCAAGAAAATCCGGAAGAGATTCATATGCTGTTAGGAGCGGACACCGCAGCACAATTGTTCACTGAAAGAATTGAACATTTTGCGGGGGATTACGTAGCCTTTGAGACCAAGTTAGGCTGGACTTTAATGGGCAAGATTAAAGAGAATGCGAATACGTCGAGTTCCCTGTCCGTTCTTTCTTTATCCTTACATGTTTCCGATACAAATTTGTCCAATCTTTGGCGTTTCGGAATCTTTGGACTTGGGGATTTCAAGTGAGGAAAACAAAACGAAAAGTGTCTTGGAAGAAGAAACCCGAAAACATTTCTTAAAAAGTGTAAAACGAGATAGATAGCTCAGGGAGATATGAAGTAACCTTACCCTTTATTTTAGATAAATCCGTCTTATCCAGTAACCGTACTATGGCAGAAAGACACCTCGTCAAAACCGAAAGTAAACTAATTAACACACGCAGAAGAAAAGATTACGAAGAAATATTTGATGAGTGGGAAGCGAAGGACATTATTGAGGTAGTAACTGAGGAAAAGGAGGAAGGAGTGCACTACTTGTCACACAGACCTGTAATAAAAGAGTCTAGTGAAACTACAAAGATACGGCCTGTTTTCAATGCATCTGCACGTTCTAAGAATTCACCCTCTCTCAATGATTGTTTGAGTAAAGGACCAAATTTAATAGAAATTATTCCACGTATATTGAATCGTTTTCGAAAATATCGCATAGGAGTGTCATCTGACATCGAAAAGGCCTTTTGTCAAATCAAAATAGCAGAAAAGGATAGAGATTTTTTAAGGTTTCTATGGTTCGATAATCAACATAAGTTTAAAATTTACAGACATAACCGAGTTGTTTTTGGACTCACATCAAGTCCGTTTCTGCTAGCCGCTACACTTAGTCACCTTTTGACTACAGTCCCAGAAAAGTTTGTAGAAACTTCTAATATTTTGAAAGGATTCATTTTACCTCGATAATTCGTTAATTAGCTTAAATCACGTAGATGAAGCCGAAAATTTCGTTCAAGAAGCAAGATTGATTTTGGCTTCAGGGCATTTCAATTTGAGATGTTGGCGATCAAATTTTCGCATTGACATGATCGATGAGATAGAGAGCAAGACGAAAGTTGTCCCAGTATTAGGATTAGTATGGGATTTAGAAAAAGATAGTTTGAGTTGCAAGATCGAAGAAACATTTAACTTGAGGGAACCTATTACCAAAAGAAAAGTTTTGTCAATTACCCAGAAAATTTTTGATCCCATTGGCTTTACTGCACCGATAACTGTAATTCCTAAGCTAATTTTGCAAGAAACATGGAACCAGAAGATTAAGTGGGATGAAGATCTTCCTCTTCCCCTAAGTGAGCAGTTTGGGACTTGGTTGAACCAATTGCCTCTGCTATCTCAGATTGAAATTCCTCGTTGGTTAAATATTGATTACGAAAACGAAGATACCGTAGGTTCTTCACGTTTTTTTCGAATGCTAGTAAAAGAGTCTATGCCACATGTGCATTTTTAAGAGCTGAAACCATCGAAGGTGTAAAGGTTCAGTTAGTAAGCGCGAGAAGTCGAATAGCCCCTATTAAGGAACTTACGATTCCACGGCTTGAACTTCTTTCCTGTCTGATAGGTGCCAGGCTTGCCAAAACAATTCTATCAGATTTGAAACTTAAGAATTGTAGAACAGTGTTCTGGAGTGATTCTTCTACAGCTTTGGGGTGGATAAGAAGGGATCAAGCATGGGGTACGTTTGTTCACAATCGAGTACAAGAAATAAGATCGCTTACCAGAATATCTGACTGGAGGCATGTACCTGGAAGTTTAAACCCAGCGGATCTCCCATCGAGAGGATGTACTATTGAGCAATTACAGAAATCGGCATGGTGGGAGGGCCCATCGTGGCTTTACTTACCAGAAGACGAGTGGCCCCATGTAGAAGAAAAGCCTGATGAAGAACTTATAAACAAGGAAAAAAGGAAAACGATTCTGACTCTTCTAGATCATGGAGACAATTTGGACCGGTACTACAAATACTTCTCTTCATATAGAAAAACCGTGAGAATGATCGCTTGGATTTTCAGGTTTTATCACAATTTAAAGAACAAAGATAAAAACCTCACTCCTGATGTCTCAGTTGATGAATTGGAGAATGCTGAAAAGGCACTTTGTAGATTGGTACAGAAAGAATCATTTACAGGCATAAACGATCCCGCTATTCGTGCGCTGAGACCAATCGTAGACCAAAATGGAATTTTAAGAGCCAAAACGAACGTCCTACAGCGTCAAGATAATGAAAATTTCCGATATCCTATCATTTTACCTTCAAAACATATTCTTGTTGAGAGACTAATTTACGAGAAACATCTAGAACTCCAGCATGCTGGTGTCAGCACTTTAATGACAAATCTTAGAGAAAGATTTTGGATATTAAAATCCAGGAAAGTATTCGAAATATTATCAGAAAATGTGTAAGATGTAAAAGATTTGTTTCACAAAGAGTGGAAGTCGAGCCAGGATTTCCACCCGAAGATCGAGTCAGAGAAGGGGCGACTTTTGAAGTCGTCGGTGTAGATCTAGCGGGTCCTCTCTATCTCCGTGAGGGGTCTAAAGCGTGGATAGTCTTGTATACATGTGCCATTTATAGAGCCATTCACCTCGAACTAGTTACTTCTCTATCTACAGAAACTTTCATCCAATCTTTACGTAGATTCATTGCCAGAAGAGGTAGACCTTATGTGATATATTCCGACAACGGAACTAATTTTGTAGGGACTAACAGTGTTCTTAAGAAAGTTAATTGGAACGCCATATGTTCAGCTGCTTCTATCCAAAGGATACGATGGAAGTTCAACCCTCCGACCGCCGCCTGGTGGGGAGGTTGGTGGGAGAGGCTTGTGCGAATGGTGAAAGAAAATTTAAGAAGAGTGTTAGGTCGAACGTCCTTAAATTATGAAGAATTATATACTATATTATGTGACTGTGAACAAGTGATTAATTCGCGACCTATCACATACGTATCAGAGGATAATCAAGATCCATCACCACTGACCCCTATGATGTTTCCTGCAAGAATTGCCGTCATCAGGAGTTCCTGATATGGACTACGTAGATTCCAAAGAACTAAACCGTCGAGCCAAATACCGACAGAGAATAAGACATGATCTACGAAACAGATTTCGTAATGAATATCTTGGTCAGTTGAGACAACAGGCAATAAAGAAGGGAAAATTTCAACAGTTGCAAGTAGGCGATGTCGTTCTATTGGAAGACAGCCAGAAACGACGCATACATTGGCCTTTAGCCAAGATAGTCGAGCTTTTCCCCAGTAAAAACGGAATAGTTAGACTAGCGAGGGTCAAGACAAGAAATGGTATTCTGCTTCGTCCAGTGCCCCGGCTTTTCCCGTTGGAGATCTCTACTTCCGAATCCGTTGGCCCTCCGTTCCCCGACAGAGCACCTCGAGATAGAAACGACCATGCAACTGGTCAGGCTGATCAGGCTGCTAGTATTCCAGAACCTGCCTCAAGTCCTCGAGTGATGACCAGAGCTGGACGAGTTGTTCGGCCTCCTCATCGACTGGACCTGTGTGTATTGAGTTCCTCCGCATCGTCGGATCTCAATGGTGGGAGGTGATGTTACATCTAAACTCCTATCAGCGCCGCCACACTAAAATCCGAACTATCAGCACCATTACATCTAAACTCGAGAATAATCCTACGGAAGAACGTAGTTAGAACTCTGAACCTGAACTCGAATGACTGTTAGATGGAGAGCGCGTAATTTCATGTAACCTAATAATTGTATATAAAATGTATAAATGTATCTAAATATAATATCTTTATTTATACAGAAGTGTCAGTTTTTTATGCAAAAGCTTGGAATTATTTAGATATTTCATCGAATAAGAATTAGGAATGGAACAAGCTCGGCTCCCGGGTGAAAGAAAAGGTAAGAGATTTCTTTTTACCTTTTAGAATTCTATTGAGAGATACAACCTTTGGTTTATGGTCTTTGTCGATTTCTGAGCCTGAGGAATTTGAATTGTGTTTTCGTGGCTCCTTGAAAGGGCCGTCGGATTGGAGGGTTTCGCAAAATTTGTGAATTTCATCTATTTTTTGAGTTAGGTTTCGGTTGATGGTAACTAGATCGTTAATACGTTTGGAGAAAGTTTCATTCTCTTGTATTCATAGTTGATTTATTGCTTTGGCTAACAGGTAATTGATTTCTTTAATTAAAGGAGATTCATGTGGGTTGGTTTTATGGATAGCTTCTTGAATATCTTGTACGACCATGCGGGTTTTTTCTGTGCCAGCGGAAAGTGTAATTTTATTGCTAAATAAGTTGATGATTTCCTGATTTAAAAATCGTGCTGGGTGGAGTTCTTCATCATTGATATTGGTATTCTGGGAAGTTTCATTGCTATCATTAGTCATCATCCATCCGTTTCCTTATATATTGTCCATGTTCATTTCGGTGTTTTAAAGTTAATAAAAGTGTTTAAAGTTAATTTCGGTAAGTTTAATGTCTATCAGTGGACGAGATATTAGAAATAAATCGCTGGCCACTTCTCTGGGCGAAGTTAACTCTCAGCCGAGAGAACCCCGAGACAGATGCAGCAGTGAGATAACCGAAAAGCGGTGACCGTTGTGATCGCTCAGGTCGTTGACCGGCGCTCTCGAACTGGCTGTAGGGTGGAGGAGTGGGTGCGGTACTAAAGCTAGGAGAGAATAGAAAATATGCCTTTCTTTTCTTCGCTTTCCAGCATTCGAATGTTAACACAGGGAAAACTGGTTCTCCATAACAAACAAGCTGATAGCCGATTGGTTGAAAAAGAACAACTTACAATTTTTTTCGGAAGGCAGGAAAAAATCGCGCGTCTTTCTTTCAATAGTAAACCAGGCAGAAAAATTGTCTGAAACAGTTGTTGGTGTGAAACAAATGCGTGTATGTTATGGGCCTAAGGATTGCGTGTATGATTTAACGTTAGTTCTACGAAAATGTCAAATTTTGAGGGGGTTTTGGGAAGATGACAATGATGGCGTGTTTCCATATATTAGGAAAGTATGCCAACTTGCTCATAGAGTTCATTGTTTTAGTTAGACATGTGATAGATGTTTCAGCGCTTTGGTTGATATACCATCAAAATTTGTAGCTTTTAGGGGTATTTAGGGGGAAAGAGCTGATATAACTGGCAACCAACTTAGGAGTTCAAACGACATGGGATTTTTAAGAAGGTATTAGCATTATTGGTGCGTGTGTACGGGTTAGTAATATTGACTGCACAAGTCCGATAATAGGTCAATAAAATTTGTTCTTATCAAAAGAAATATATCAGAACTATGACGAAGACGGCGAAGCTCGTATTGTATTCTCGAATATCAAGATATAGAAACATCTTACTCGGCTTCTGATAAGCAGTCTAGGGGACAATGAAGGTAGAACAGAATGTGAGAAAGGGTGAAAAGAGAATCTTTAAATAAATTAATTAAATAATAATAATAAACGGTATTTACGTATTTGCCGCAACGACCTTAGCAAAATTGCCCAAACTTTCAAAGTACGCCAAATCATGGCAACTATGTGCATGAAATTGTGTCATTTCAACGTTATGTTTATTCAGCCGAAGACAAAAACAACACCTTTGCTGATAAAAGTAAAGTTACTCCAATACTACTTGACTACGAAGACCGTATATTCCCAAATGTCAAGATGTAGGAACATCATTTTTTTTGCCCGACTTCTGATAAGCAATCTAGGGAGAAAAGAGAGAACAGTGTAGTGGGAGGGGGTGTAAAGAGAATCTTGTCCGCGAATGGGGGTAAGGCCAATAACGTTATAAGATGGAGCAGCGGAATGTAAACCGCAAAGTCAATTAAGCGCGAATGAGTTAATTTCGCTTACTGTTGTTATGTGGGTAGGATGTCACAGGAGTATCGATGTTTGTTCCTGGGGTGCGAAGAGTGCTATTGTGGGATTGTACTGCGTGAAAAAAGTTGACGCTAATCGTTAAATACAGTCTTATATAGGTTCTACTTGTAGGTCTCTGTTCTCTCTTTTCCCCATAGATTGCTTATCAGAAGCCGAGTAAAAAAAAGATGTTTCTACATCTTGGCACTCGGGAATATACGATCTTCGTAGTCGAGTAGTATTGGAAGTAAACTTTACTTCTAGTATATCAGAAAATGTGTTGTCTTTGTCTTCGGCTGACTAAACATAACGTTGAAATGAAACATTGTCATGCACGTAGTTGCTATGATTTGGCGTATTTCGATACTTTGGGCATTTTTGCTAAGGTAGTTGCGGGAATACGTAAATACCGATTTTTTTGTTACTACTACTTATCTAAAGTGAGAATACAAGGCTACGATGACCGAATCGCCTCTTTTTCTCCTGCTTTTCAAGTTATCCATACATAGTAGCTACTTGCGAACGTCCTATTTTTCAATGCACATGGCGTATTTTCCCGTGTTAAAGCCGAGAATTTTTTTTTTCTATAGCTAAATTATAGAACTCCGTTCATATAGGGATCCATTAATATTGCAAAAACGTAAGCATCTATTTGTTAGCTAGCCGGACGCGAGCAATGAATGGCCAAATATAGCAATTTAAGTTTATGAAAAAAAGTTTCAAATAAGATATTCGTTTTATGAAATGAATTGTTTTATTTCCGAAATTATTTATAGTGTTGGTTTAGTGCATCATCGCCAAAACGTAAAATCTGATGTCAAAATTTGCATTCCGCTTTCTCTTTTCTCGAACTCGAGCCTAAGTAATCAACATGGATGAGAAAAATACAGCATAAAGTGATATGAAAGAGCCTACAGGCGATTTCATATCTTTTGCACTTTTGATCGCTGTTACTCATCTATGTTTCTCTTCTGCTGCCAAGAACAATAAGCCAAGGTATCAACTTGGTGAAGGGGTGCCTTGGTCTATTCTTACAGCAGAATTTGCAAAAGGACAACAATGAATTTTGGTTCTTTTGAAAATAATTCTGGATCCTCTTGTTGGCCTGCAACAAAAACTTTAAATTCTAGCAATGATTGATTTATCTTCACTGTAAAAAATGAACGTTGTAGTTCCACTTACCTCTACATGGCAAATACTGACTGTGGACTGGATCACGTACGATGGAGGCAGGATCTTAGAAGAGCTCCTAAATTTTCAAAGTTTTTTTTTTTCAGAAAAAGGTAATTTATTTAAGAAAAATTTTCGCGAATATCCTCTACATTGTCTCGTTCTCAAAACCGACAGTTCTCCGGTATTTAAAGGCCTTATCTTCCTTGCAATCTTTTACAACACCAAGACGGAACATTCAGATAAGTAGAACTTCTTTTCTCTAAGCTAAATCAAATATCTGTCACTAAAGTACCTTTAAATTCATTTATTTATTATGATCATTATTATTATGCTCATTTTATTATGTTCTGGCATTAAATACTTAATAATTGCTTTAAATCATGTGGCTTTATTTTTTTGTTTTTTGTTTTTTGGTTACCATCTCGGTAGGGATACTATTATTATCAGTAGCCTTTATCAGTAGTGTAGTCTGTTAGCTCTACCCATTGGGGCCCCTTTAGAGGAATTTCTTGAGAAGGGAAAAAACACTATCTTGGGTTGGGCCTCAATGAATGTATAGATTTGTAGTTTTTGCTCCTTTAATCTATATTTTCCTACGTCTAATTAAATTAAAAGCATATATTAATACAGTATGTCTCAAATTGATAAAATAGTACCACATATAATAAATTATGATCCATTAATTTAATAAATAAATAAAATGCTTATTTTTTAATTAATTAATATTAAAATTAAAAAAACTGTAATTTATTTACTTATTTATTTTTGCTGATGTGTTCTCGCCTTGTTTTAGTTTTATGATTTTATCTGATGGTGTTTTTCTGAGTATATGAATACGTTGGAAACCGCCCTTGATGATGTTACTTAAGTTTAATGTATAATTTTGCATGATATTATATGCATCTTGATCTTATGTGTCTTCTGTTACTGCTGCGTCTCAAGGTAGAGGCTAACATATTGTTTCCCATGTTAAAAAATAAAAGTTTAATTTAAAATTTTTGTTTCCCTGTTATAG